CAGTTACTCAGGGAGGCTGAGGCAGGAAAATGGCTTGAACCCAGCAGGTGGAGGTTGCAGTGAACCGAGATCCACCACTGCACTCCAGCCCTGGCAACAGGAGTGAGACTCCGATCAAAAAAAAAAAAAAAAAAAAAAAAAAACAACAAAAAAAAAAAAAAACAAGAGAAAACGAAAAGAAAAGGGGAAAAAAAGAAAAGAAAAAATGAACACACAAATTTCAAAGGATTTAAATAATACAAAGTACATTTCTGAACATAATTAAACTAGAAAATAATAACAGAAATTAGAGCCTGAAAGGGAACTGAAAATAAGTAAATAGGTAAATAAATAAATAGAATAAAAAGGAAAAATAGAAAATAATAACGGAATGATATCTGGAAAATCCCCACATATTTAGAAATTAAATTACCCATGGATCGAAGATGTAATCTCAAGGAAAATTGGATCATATTTTGAACTGAATGAAAGTAAAAACATGACATGTCAAATTTTCTGAGATGCAGCCACAGTAGTGCTAAGAGGGAAATTTATAGCATCACTTTGACATATTATAAAAGAAGAAATATCTCAAATCAATAATGTAAGCATTCACTTTTTTTTTGAGACAAACTCTCGCTCTATTGTACAGACTGGAGTGCAGTGGTGTGATCTCTGCTCACTGCAACCTTGGCCTCCCAGGTTCAAGCAATTCTCGTGCCTCAGCTCCTGAATAGCTGGAATTACAGGCATGTGCCACCACACCTGGCTAATTTTTGTATTTTTAGTAGAGACAGCATCTCGCCTTGTTGGCCAGGCTGGTCCCGAACTCCTGGCCTCAAGGGATCCTCCCACCTCAGCCTCCCAAAGTGAGAATCGGACCACTGCAGCCAGCCTCGGCAACAGAGTGAGCCACTCCGACCTCAAAAAAAAAAAAAAGAAAGAAAGTTGGAGGTCGAGGCAGGCAGATTACCTGAGGTCAGGGCTTCTCTAGACCAGCCTGGCCAACATGGTGAAACCCCACCTCTACTAAAAATACAA